TTTTCTTTCCTGTATTACAGGATACATACATCTGCCTACAGGTGTTAGATTCTGATACCTGTAACCCCTGTAGTTTTTTCAGCTGCCTCTAGAGCTCAAGGGCAATTTCAGAGGGGTTCTTTTATGCCCTTAAAATTCCTTTGTTTGTACTACTGTAGCTGATAATGTACATAATTGTTCTCCTGTCATTTTAGACTTTCTTTTGGTAATAGACTTATGATAGAGTGCATTCTAAATTTAATAACCAGGCCCGCATCATATAATGACTGTGATAGCCTATACAGTTCCATAGATATTGTTCAGAGCTACAGTATGTAACTTTGTATTTTAGTATTTTAATATTTTAGTTGTAGAAAACCTGTCTTAATGTGGAGAGATGCTCTCGAAGCCTCCTGTGACCCAGACTCACTGAACAGCACAGACAGCAGTGCAGAGATATTAGCTTCTAAAAGCACACCTGTTCCTCACATCAGCCTACACTCACATGGAGTAGAAGCACCGATGTGGACGTTAAGTCCTACAGAGAAATTCATTCTGGGAACTGGGAGGTACAATCCATCCTGACGTTCACTCCTGAGGAGAAGGATGACCATGAAGACATCACATGCACAGCCACATTTAATGGAATGAAGACATCCACTGCAAAATTTACACTCTATGTAAAACGTACACAAAACTCCAACCACATCATTATTCCCACTGCAGTAGGGATTGGCATCACTGTTATCTTTGGAGTCGTCTGCATTTTCATGTTGAAAAAATACAAGGGACGCATTGCAGAGTTATAAAGTCGGGATGGCAGCATGTGGAACCGGCTGTCCAGGATGTCTCGCAGAGTTCGTTCTGGTGGTCCAGGACGTTCTCATTCTGATCAAAGGCCCAAAAATGGGATTTCACAATCCTATGCTGAAGAGAAAGTCCCCAAGCCTCGCTTCCCATCCCCCAAAAGCCAGCCAAAATCTTGCAATTATAAAGCGGACCCCGATGACGGTGACGATTACATAAACACTGCAGATCTCAACATCTACGGAAACCTCTGAAAAAAGGAAATTTATTTCCAAAGAATGAGTTTGTGATCAAAGCAAATAACAAATCTAACCACACTCATAATGATCAAAGCAAATCTGGCCATTGCAAATTTGTTATGCATTGGCACTGTAGTAATGTCTTCTATCAAGCAAAATATAATAACATTAGTCATTTGATTATATTACACTGAATCAATGAAATTGTATTATACAATGTATTATAATGACCATTGACATGCCTGCAACATGCCACAGTGAGACTCAATTAAATTAGTGGATGCAAAAGGCAATAACTAAAGAAAACAACGGATAAGAATTTAAATGCAGTAGTCTGACATTTTGAGAAATGCACTTAGGCACATTCTTGCTGATTGATACCACCCTAATATGTTCCTGTTAAATAAGAGGCTACGGCCATAAATTTAGCTTGACATAAAGACTGGAACAGATATCCTGGCCAAAGGTCATAACCATTTGGTAGAGTGAAGCTAGGGGAAAATGGTTCTGTGTATTCGTGGAAAGTAAGCTAATGCCCACCGAGAGCGATAGTAATGGCGGTGGTACACTCGATCATTCTCTTAAATAGCATGCTAGCTACAAGATACTAAGTGGGCCACACGTCTCCTCTTAAATTCACAGGTCATCTGGCTCCGTGTTTAGTCTGTTTTGTTAACTTGCTAGAAGGTGTTGTTTTTTTCCAATGATTTGGTTACTGACACAATTGCTTATAAGTCCAAGTCTTGCTTGATAGTAAGTTTATGTTAGTGCATTGAGAGTGCAATTATAGTCAAACTATACTCAAAGAGTTAACCATAGAGAAACAGTTTTGGACCAACTAGTGACATGAAGTTGTACTGTGTGTATTGACTTGTGTGGCTATGTAAAGCCAAGAAACCTGTATAAAGATACAGCTAAAGTACAGTAGTTATGATACTGGAAAAAAGAGACAATGCACCGTGTTCAGTGAACTGATGATGTTTATGAATAAATAATGGCGGAGAACATTGAAAAGAGGAAACACGTCTCCCTGTCTTATGATTTCTTTCCTGTATTACAGGATATATACATCTGCTTACAGGTGTTAGATTCTGATACCTGTAACAATAACATTATTTGGCACATCGCCCAGCCCTACCTATCACACTGTTGTTGCACAGTATAGCATTATGACGCGTACACAGCAGTGAAAAAGTAAGCCTGTGTGTGTGTGTGTGCACGTGTGTGCGCACGCATACCTTGGGCATACCAGTGGGGTCAAAGCGGAGAACCCTCTGGCTGCAGCAGCAGTAGATCCCTGCACCAAGCCAGCCCTTCTCAGCACCCAGGCTGGGGTACAACACACTGTCTGGGTGGTACCTGCATTGGGTCAGCTCTGCACATACAAACACCTACACACACACACACGTATGCACATAAAGCACTTGACAAATATTTCAGCCTCATAGAATCAGTCTCTCATTTTCTCCTCAAACAGATTGTGGCCAGTGTGGTTTTTCTCTCACTATATCAGAATCACACCGTTAACTCTGTCCTCATTCAATGACTTGTGCACTGCACATACACACAACACACATTCTAACCTGTTGGCATCGGGAGCAGGTCAGGTAGTTGATCGTAGCCCAGATTCTCCAGTAGACCAAGACCCAGGACTTCAGTTCCTCATACAGACCAGCAATGTATTCATTAATATCCCAGCTCTTCTGTCTGGAAAAGCACGCATGCACGCACACACCCCCACACAGACACACACAGTGTGATCAGGACATCAAATAAGTAGGAAATAAAGAGGTGAAAGTTATTATCTGTGAAAAGGCAGCTGTACTGGTTCTCTTTGTATTACTGCTAAATCAGTACAACTCTGAGCTGAACTGTGCCCTTGCTGTGAAGTGCAGTCATGATGAATGGCTGCTATAATACCTAGTGTGTGTATAGATGATCTCTCCTCGAGTGTCAATGTTGATTTTCCCTGGAACACAAGAAATCTTCCTCTCTGTGTCTTTGGTGAGAATCTTAAGGCACAGACCACACCTGGGATGGAACAAATGTATCACAAATAAGAAGAAAAAGAATTAAGGTCACAGAAAAAAATGCAGCTAATATTTATGAACATGAGCATGAACAGAGAAGCAGAAGGAAAAAAGAAAATCCTGTTGGAAGGAAACTTTGCTCCTACTCACCTGTAGAGAGTAGAAGCATTTCCTGGTGAATCTCGGTTCAGGTAGCAGGGATCAAAAAGACGCTCAACTTTCTTCTGAAACAATTTGCTTTAAAGGTGAAAGGAAATAAAAGAAGGAAACGATCAAACTTGGGTCCACAAATATAAAAATTACTTTAATGAGAAATCCAAACACTGAATATGTAAGGGTGATTCATCATCAGGGGCCTCACTCTCCCCAGAGCATTGCTATATCAGCTACTTGCTGCCACCATGATTCTTTGAGAAACTAATACACAATAAATCCACCCTACATTGCTGTATGAATTATTTTTACTTCAGTAAAGGATCAGAATACTTTTCCCACCTTTATTTTCAGTATCATTTCCACACATCTAATACATCTCGTTTTCCTACATAGCTCACAACTCGGGAGGGATTGCTGTGATATTATAATGCGTGGTCTTGCTAGTGTGTTTAACACTATGTCCCTCACATTTTGTATCACTTTCCTCAGGGATGTTCTCCTTTTAACATGCTCCCTCTCAGCTATTCCTCTCCTGCACTATCCATTCTTTCTGACTGAATGTTTCACTGATGTGGTCAACTCTGCGTGATGACAAACAAGATCAAACCATCAGGTCAGAAGTATTTCATTTTGTCTTTTTACACTGGCCTGACACTCCGGACCAAATCGGCTGGCAAGATCACTGGCCCCAGTGAGCAGTCCAGGCCTGCCTCGAGCTGATTATACACCTCTTGAACTTGTCTTTTTTATCCCTGATGTCGTCAGCCTCATTGTGATTGAACAGCTCTGCGATGCGCGTTGCCAGGTTGCTATTGATGCAGTTCATGTTGCAGGGTGTAGCTATGATGGCGCTCATGTGTTTGTGGCAGTACTGGATACATTCCTCCACCTGAACATGGACAAATACACACCAGTCTTATAAGAGCCTTTCACAGGTATGATGACTTTTATTCCCATGATACGATCTTCACAAACACTGATCAAACATTGCTGCTACAATGTTAGCTGCTCTTAGAGACTCTAAATAGATAAAACAGTGATGAGAATACTTACTTTAAGAACTCCTGGACGCAGAAAAGCATCTATACTCAACATCCATCCATGCAACATCAACTTAACAAAGCTCTATACACAGGCCTCCTGCTTTCCCTGGATTAGGAGAAATTATCAGTTGCAAAACACAAATTAATTTGTATTATAAGGTTAAATGCAAAAGAAACTTTAAAAGAACATTTCCACAATTTAATTTCGACACTAAAAAGCTATGTAATTTCTCCCTGCTCCATCTGAAAATCAAGGGGCCTGAACAGCATCATCACCATACATAGCATCATACATCACAACACTTACTAACGTATCCATCTTCAAGAATTCGGAGGAGATCAGGATTGAGATCACATTGCTGGGCTCTGTAACCAATAAACATTACATGACCACCCAAGCAAACCCCACAAACAACACAGGACACACAGCCAGTAATCCACCAAACACAAACCACATTTAGTGACCAGTAAATCAAGCACCATCCACGGAAGGACACTAACAGGTGGTGTAAGTAACAGTACAGGCATTCCCATGAGTAATAATGTGATATATGTTATTGTTTTACAGTTTTTCCAGGGATTTTACCAAGTCGGGGTTTGTCCTTGTTTCCCTCTCCAGCAGAGTTCCTCCTGACATAGTTCATGAGCCAGTCGAAGATCTGCACGTCACAGTGAACGGAGATGTCTACCTCTTCCCATCTCTGGGGATCAACAGACAAGTACTCAGCGAAGTAACGCATCTCTTTAATTAGAAGATCTCTGGGACATGTGAAATCCTGCTTCAGATTCTTGGTCTCGTCACACACGTGGATGACCATGTTGGGACTGTAGGAAACAGTTTATATCCATTATCTGAAAAGGCCACAGTATAACCTTCCACTGAATAAGACTACATATAAATGTAAGACTAAAAATGAGCCACTATAGCTTACTCTCGTGGCTTCTGAGGCTTTTCATCCTCCTCTGATGAGGCTCTTTTCTCCTTCTTCTCCCCAGCACCAAGCCTTGCAGAGGGGGTTGATTTGGAGCCTGCTGATACCAGCATCAAATATATGATTATACTCTAAACCCAGTTATCAAATAACAGTAACCACTGGAATGCATTTTTGGCTCTGACACACATTGTAATTAAATCTTGTATTGCTCCAAAATATCGGACTGTTCTCTTATCAAAATGAGCAGAGCCTGAGATGATTATACCTGGGAAAGCAAAAGGTATGCTTAAAATGCTTAAATGTATTGTTTCATTTGAGACAAGAGTAAATTATATTCTGACAGCATTAGATTCAAATGATTCCTAGGAGAACTAACCTGTAACAGCAGCAAACAAGGGAAACACACTATCTGAACTGCTCAGGGTGGCACTAACTGACCTGTTACTTTACTGGTGCTCTGGCTGCTTCCTGTCTCCACCACCTCCCCCGTGTTCAACAGCATGGATAGGCCATCTGAAGGAGAGCTACTTCCCTCCGTTAGGGCATTATATAGGTTATCCACATGAGGAAACCTCCCCATGCTCTTCAGCTCCTCAAATCGACGGGCACACTGCAAGATGATGTCAGTGCCATGTTATTATTTATCATCTATAAGTCAGGAATAATATTAGCAACTGTGGAATGACTGATGGATGGGACAGGATACATGGAGAGGTGGATGGGTAGAAGCATTCATAGTTACCCAGCACTCCAGTTACCTCCTTGGGAGTGAATCCTGGAACTAGCTTGGAGACACTGTCCCAGTTTATAGGCTGGGGCACTCCCCACAAAGAGCCCAGCACCATGTCCAATACCAGCATGTTGTTGTCATATGGAAAGTTGTTGTTGTCAGAGCAAAAGTGGCTCATCTCTAGAGAAAAAGAGTAAAAAGAAGCAAAAGTAAAAAAAATAAAAAAAATAAAAAAAAAAGTTTAATCATAATATCCAACTTTGAGGCTGATCAATCAGTTCAAGTTAGCTGATTAAAAATGAACAGCAATTAATTTAATTATGATGATTCACATTTCTCATATGTGACGATGTGGTGTGTTGCCTTGTGCTGTGTGACTGACAAGGGAGATCAGAGCAGCAAAGAGGAGCTACTCTGAAAAGCTGAAAGCTCAGGTTTCAGCCAACGACCCCTCATCTGTGTGGGGGAGCCTGAAAACCATCACTGG